AATTCAAGCCTGAGTTGCATTTTCTGCAAGCCTCTATTTCCATGGCTTGCAGTTGTGTTACATAAAGCTACTTTGCACTTCCTGTTCCACATTGCTGTAATGATACTATTGCACCAGACAAAACCTGGGAGCTATTTACAAGGGATTTGAACCCTGCAGTTTATGTTTTTCACTTTTAAAAGTATATATTTTAGTGGATGAAATTACTGTGCTGTGTGCGGCAGAGGGTCCGACCACATTTGTTTTCTACTATGCAGCAAAATTCCAACAGAATGACATCCTTGCCTAATGGCTTGGCTAGTAAAACTTTGCACCTTTTAAATTGTTCGAAAGTCCATACTAGACATTTCTAGAGTTTTGTCTCACCCTTGCGAGGTAAATAGTTTTCAGAAAACAAAAATTGAAGCAGAGCAGCCGAGCCAGATATTGATTAGCCAGTAACAGTCCAGCACTTCTGAAATCAAAGGTCAACTGTATTAAGAATGAAGATTCCCATATTGCGATGGAGTGCGCCCTCATCAAGTTCACCGACGACACCGAGCTGTGTGGTGCGGTCAACACGCTGGAGGGCAGGGATCCATCCAGAGGGACCTGGGCAGGCTGGAGAGGGGGGCCTGTGTGAACCTCATGGAGTTCAACAAGGCCAAGTGCAAGGCAGGGGGGTTGGAACTAGGTGATCTTTAAGGTATCTTCCAACCCAAGCCATTCTATGATGTCAGAGATCCCACTTGAAAATATTGCCCTGAAACCTCACCTGAATTTGCACAGCTGGCTTATACAGAAAAAAAAAAAGCAACTGCTGAAGAAAAAAGTCACTTTCTGATACTAAGATTAGGTTTAACCTATTGCCTAGGCTTTCGTGATGACTTTCTTGATGGCTTTCCAGTTAACTATGAGAACAGTGATTTCAGATGTTTGCTTAGCAAGATGAGGAATAATGCTCCCCCCCATAACACTCCGCCCCCCCCACACTCCCTCCCAATAATACTCCGCCCCCAGTGCTCCGCCCCCATAACGCTCCCCCATAACACTAGGCACTTGGTTTGAACACAAACCAGAAATGATCTCTCCAAAAGGAGATGGAAGTCAAACACCGTTGTTCCTGGATGTGTAATATTAGGAGTGCTCCACACCAGACAGCTGAAAAGTTGCAATATCTCACTGGGCCAGCACAGGAGCAGGGTCAGCAGCAAAAGTGCCTGCACTTAATGGACCTTTTTGCAGCTTCACTCAGCTTCAAGGGGAAAAAAAACAGCACCACATTTCTTCAGGAGACACACAATATTTGTTATGTCTTTATTCAGGGAACTTTTGAGGATGACTCTTCAGGTAGCTTTTCTCTTCCCCTCTCTGTGCTTACCCATACTGCTTATCCACCACACCAGGAGTGAGCAGCGCTGTGTACAATTCCATGGGGGCCAGGCACAGAGAAGCAGCACGTTAGATACACTCCATCTGTTCATGGCAACCACATTTAACCTCCCTTGTAAAAATAAATCTTTCAGATCTCTTCTAACATTTGTTTATGTATCTGAAACAACAGAAAGATGTATCTGGGGAAATAACCAAAGCTTCAGAATCACATTTGATTTAAAATTCAATTTCTCCCCAAAAGGATGCAGCAGTAATACACATAGTCTCTGCTACAGCTGATGGCAACCTCGTCCTTTAAGCTGCCGTTCAGTCCAGCCACTGTCCCTCTGCCCAGACAACAGTGCCAGCCCTTATGGAAGTGGCATGACTGGACGGGGACAGTATCTTAGCAATCCCACAAGCAAGTTAGAGCCTTCCCACTTCAACACCCAGAAGCATCAGTGGTCAGTCTCAGCAGGTTCCAACATCTTTGCTTTCAGCTTTTTGATGAATTGGGCACACGGATCTTTCTAGGATTGCTTTATCCACTCATACACATAAATACCTAGTTTGCTCAACTATTATGTTAGCTCCTAACGCAGGTGAAGTTTCATGTTCATAAGCAGCTTAAAAATATATTTAGAAAATCTGATTCAAAGACCACTGAAGTCACTAGGAACTTTTCCATTTACTTGCTTTTTGGATTGTGTCCCAAGTACTTATCAGTTCCTTCAGCCCCCGTGCTTCAGTAGTTGAACACGGCTCGCTAAAGATGATACTCTGTTTTTTTCTTATTACTGGTTAAAATTCATATTCATAGCCCAGCACTTTGAATCAGAGGTTTTCTCCAGATGCTTCTGATGCTTATCCTCCTGTGTTAAAGAGAATGCTAGTTCATATAACAGAGCTGGTAGACTCTATTCGGAATCTACCATGCTGCAAAGAATGATGTTGTCAGACAGACTGATCTTTCTCCAATAGCTTTTGCAGCACTTTTTTTATAAAGATGTTAAAGATAACATGGAAGAGAACAGGAACAGGTTTAGAGTCTTGGGATAACAAAACACAAAGCATGAGAAAAATCATAATACTGATACTTGTAATTGAAAGAGCTACTGAGAAACTATATTCTGGGCACTGGGGAAGAATGAAGGAAACAACAGTAATATAGGCTGCTCAAAAAATAAATATATTTTTGTGAAAAAGGATAACAATTTTTTTTAAGGATTAATTGTTTTGTTTCACTGTTGTAATTGAGATTTAATTGTGGTAACTGGAAAGAGCATCAGCCCAAGACTGCTCACCTTCAGGAGTCTGAGCCCCCAGCTCACAATTACATTAATCCAGGGAACTATTAAGTACAATAAAAGACTGGGAATAGCATGTATATCATGGGAACAGAGATTCACAGTAGTTATTCTAGCTCTGTGAAATAGAAATGATAATGAACAGAATTTCAAATGCATTGATATTGAGAGTCATTACTAACATTACATGAACAGCATTATGGTGCAGTCTTTAAGGCCAAATTCTGCTTGCATGGTCAAGGTTTTTACGTAGACTTGTTAGGTGGCATCTTCCAAAGCAACAACAACAGAAAAATAAAAGACCTCAGTCTCGCACCATTAAGCTCTAACTGATAACTATGGTTAGCAGATTTATGCTAGTGCTAAATACTTTGCAAAATTTCAAATACTGAAGAGTAGAAAGTCACATAAAGAAGAGCTAGTTAAACATACAGAGGACAAAGTACAAGATTTATTATGCAAACTACACACGTCCAAATACAGATTCTTGTTTGTTTACACTCACAAAAGCAAGTGATCCTTCAGAAAACTTACAGGGTGATTTCTGCATTATTGTTTCCACGGCAAGAAAAAGACAAAAACAAGCTCTGAAAGCAGTATGCTGCAATATCAAGTAATCATATCACAATACACTCAAGCTCTTTCAAATAACGAGTTAGTCAAACATCTGCTGCAAATTAATACTGGTCCAAACTTGTCTCTTGGGTAATTCAATGGACTTCAGTACCGTTAGGCAAGGGATGATCCGTTCCAACGCATTTACTGTCTGTGGATAATTTGCTCTGGTTTAGAGCTTCTCCCTTGCGTTGCTCTAGCTTGAAATCCTCCTGCAGTGCAGTTGCTATTTACTAGCTCGTGCTGATGCATTCACTTTTTCTGGCTTAACTCAAGAAAATTCAAAAAGCACACACTGCCAAGGAAATGAATTTATTCAATAAGCCCTGCAATGTCAACTCTTACTAATTCTGTAATGCTGGAATAAACAAAGTCAGAAATTACGCATGGCTTTCTAGCCATTAATAAAACCTTATAAATCTGTCAGGACTCATACATTTCACTGTACCAAAACTGGTATTAAGGCAACTCTTGCAAAATTCAAATTGCATTTTAACCAAACAAAGTTAAATGTATTGACCTAATTACCAACTCATAAATGTGCAGAAAAGAGAGAACCAGTCTGTATGGTGTTACCATGTCTTTGAGGCATTGATTAAACTCTAGATGCCGGCCCATCACTTCACCACGTCCCGTGTGTCCGTCGGTGTGTTCTGTCATTGGTGACTGTCCTGCTCAGGCCGGCAGCGATTGCGAAAAATGAACCGTCACCGGGGGATCATCAACTACTCGAGCATGAACTTGTCTCCGGGCGCTCGGGCCCACGCACGGCCCTTGCGATCCAGAAGCGGCCCCGGGGCGGTGAAGAACCGAGCGGCCCCGCGCAGGACGAGGCGCTTCCCGCGGCGCCTTCCTCCGCCCCTGCCCGCCCTCCGCCGTCACTTCCCGGGGCCGGGCCACAGCGCTGCGGGTGTCAGCGGC